GGCACAGCTGGCTCTGCCTCTGGATAGGCAGAGCCAGCTGTCGATCCCGCAGCTGGGTGGATCCAGACAGTATTGTCGGGATCCGTCCCGGCTGCCGTGGTCCCCGTATAGGTCGCGGTATACTAAGCTTTGGGTCATGGGAGAACGCTAGTTTGTGTTCTCCTGTGACCCTTAGGAGAACTATGGGGAAAAGCCCTGACATCATAGTTCTCCTTTAATGAAATAATTTTCTTTCTTATATCTCTATGCCGCTGATCTTCTGCAGCCACTTCCTGTCTCCAGCGAGGGCTGCATGACATTTCTCAGGGTCAGATCCGTACTGCAAAAGCTTGCATAGGTGGGTGCTGAAGTAGAAGGCAGTGGGTGCTGAAGTAGAAGGCAGTGAGTGCTGAAGTAGAAGGCAGTGGGTGAGCGTTGTCACCCTACAGGAGGGGGTGCTCTTGGAGTGAGAGTGACTGTCAGGATGCTGAAGTAGAAGGCAGTGGGTGCTGAAGTAGAAGGCAGTGAGTGCTGAAGTAGAAGGCAGTGGGTGAGCGTTGTCACCCTACAAGAGGGGGTGCTCTTGGAGTGAGAGTGACTGGCAGGATCAACAGGCCAAATGTTCATTGGAAATCAGAACAAATATGCAAAACACAGCTTAACTTTTGACTCCCTCCCTCACATAGGACTCCCTCCTCCCCAGCAGTGGCATATCCAGGGTATAGCACATATGGCACATACTCAGGGTGCCAGTTGAAGGGGGGGATGCGCTGCTCCGTTGATCAGTGAAGGTTCGCTGACTTTTTTTTCCTCCCCACCCTTCTCCTATTCACATCTCCCTGCCTGGCTCCCAGCAACCAGAGCGGGCGGGGAGATATCTATGCGAGCAGGACACCAGTCTGGGCATCCCAGGTTGCAAAGAGCTGGGAGAGGAGATGTGTACGGCCCTTACACATCTCCCCACCCAGCTCTTTGCAACCTGGGACACCCTGGCCAGCGCCCCGCCCAACTCCTGGCAACCAATGAGCTCCATGCTGGGGGGGATGCCAGGGGTGCAATTTGTTGTAGATACACCTCTGCCCCCCAGTTGTATTTGATTATTTTTTTTAGTTTTGTACTTTACCTTTTACAAATGTCTTAAGGGCAGACATGTGACTTGTAGGGTCGTGTTCTTCCTAGGATCTTCTCCTGGCGGTGGTTGTCCTTGATGATGTGTAGAGCATCCACTCTCAACCTGGGTTTCTCCAGAGTTTGCTAGGGGTTACTTCATTGGCTGATTGACCTCCCATCTGATGGTTTCAGGGTCAATACTACTTGGCAGTACATTAAACCATTGATCTTTTTATCTGTCTGTAACAGTGGCATTCTGGCTGCCATTGTAAGGGGAAGGGCATTCTTCTCTGACCACCACTGTAAGGAAGGTGTTCTTCCTTGACCACCATTGTAAGGGGGGCATTCTTCCCTGACCGCCATTGTAAGGGGGGGCATTCTTCCCTGACCACTATTGTAAGGGGGGCATTCTTCCCTGACAACCATTGTAAGGAGGGCATTCTTCCTTGACTACCATTGTAAGGTGGGGCATTCTTCCCTGACCGCCATTCTAAGGAGTCTATTCTTCCCCGATCACTGTAAGGGGGGCATTCTTCCCTGACCAACACAGGAAGGAGGCCATTTTTCCTTGACCACCATTGTAAGGAGGCCATTCTTCCCCGATCACTGTAAGGGGGGACATTCTTCCTTGGCCACCACTATAAAGGGCATTTTCCGATTGATCCCTGATGAATTGCTTTTAGCAAGGGTTCCACATGGCCTGAAAATAATTTTAAGGATTAGGAAGAAGACAAGCCGGCGGAGGCAGTGTGATGCTTTGGGCAATGTTCTGCTGGGAAACTTTGGGTCCTGCCATTCATGTGGATGTTACCTTGACACTTACCACCGACCTAAACATTGTTACTGACCAAGTACCCCCCCTTCATGGAAACAGTAATCCCTGATGGCCTTGGCCTCTTTTAGCAGGATAAAGCGCCCTGCCACAATGCAAAAAAGGTTCAAGAATGGTTTGCAGAACACAATAAGCATCTGGATACCTTCCTTAGAGACCGCAACATACAGGGGTACAGGTACTCTTAAAAACAGGATCACATGGGCACTCGTATACACACATACACACAATGGTTGAACTTGATGGACCTGGGTCTTTATTCAACCTCAAATACTATGTAACAACGAGTTTGAGGTGTTGACTTGGCCTTCAAATTCTCCAGATCTCAATCCAATCGATCATCTGTGGGATGTGCTGGAAAAACAAGTCCGATCCATGGAGGCCGATCACCTCACAACTTACTGGACTTAAAGGATCTTTTACTGATGGCTTGGTGCCAGATACCACAGCATACCTTCAGAGGTCTAGTGGGGTCCATGCCTGGACGGGTCAGGAAAAGAGGGACCTACTCAATATTAGGGGGGTCCTCCAGATACCACAGCATACCTTCAGAGGTCTAGTGGAGTCCATGCGTGGACGGTTCAGGAAAAGAGGGACCTACTCAATATTAAAGGGGGTCCTCCAGATACCACTGCATACCTTCAGAGGTCTAGTGGAGTCCATGCCTGGATAGGTCAGGAACAGGGGGACCTACTTAGTAATAGGGGGGGGTCATCCAGATACCACAGCATACCTTCAGAGGTCTAGAGGAGTCCATGCGTGGACGGGTCAGGAAAAGAGGGACCTACTCAATTTTAGGGGGGGTCCTCCAGATACCACAGCATACCTTCAGAGGTCTAGTGGAGTCCATGCCTGGACGGGTCAGGAAAAGGTGGAACTACTCAATATTAGGCGGGCGGTCATAATAATATGGCTGATCGGTGTATATTCCAAGCCAAAGCTGCTTTTTTTTTGTTTTGTAAACCACCAGTAGGCCAAGGAGAAAAAATAGATAGCAGTTGTGCTTCAATGACGCATGGGCATACATATATTAAAAAAGAAAACATTTTCCACATATGCTTAGCACCTAAGCTTACATGCTGCATATACGCCTATTTTTACCTGATCCAAAAAGCTTTTTGCTGTCCTACCCTCATCCAGAGCGCTCAGTGAAAGTCTGAGTTGGTTATAACAACTTATAACAGCCCCCGTGTTATCCCTGCACCTTTCCTCCCACCCCCCGGCTCCCGATCCATGTGGTCAGTTGGTTTCTGACAACACGGATTACAATGATGCTGTCGACTCTGCTTAAAAATCTCACACACAGTCTGTTTAACATTCAGCGTGCCGTCCTCCAACATTCATTTTTAATAAGGTACATAGCACTTCGGGCTCTCTAAGCGTGAAAAAGCCCACTCCGTGCTGCAGAGGTGTTCATAATGTTTAAGCTGCAGCACAAAAGAAATCTGTTTTGCCGAGTTCATAATAATAAAAAAAAAAACTTACCAGCAGAAATGCCTGCTGGAGGTGGACGCATTACCCAGAACCCTTTGCAGTAATGCATTTTTAACGCTGTTTTGCATTAATGCAGATGAGATGCAGACAGAAGGGTTTACCACTTGGTAGAAGGAAGTCAATGACAATTTAACGGTAACCATTAACCAGTTTGCTCTTGGCAAAGAGCAAGTCAAAAGCAGCAAGAAAGCTCTGGAGCCAAAAATAACAGTTGCTGGAAGCTGGTTCACTCAGTAAATGGGGAGGGAGACGAACTCCTTAAAGTGGAGCTCTGGGTGAAATCAAAAACTATATGAAAGCTGCAGTTGGCCAGGAGCATTAAGGGCTCGTTCACACCATGTTCATTGACTGGCATTAATCAACACGGGCTCAACACAAGGACACATAGTGTGTCATATAGGATCACACAAAGTTCTCCATTAGGTCCTCCTCTGTTGATTGACAGTAGGCAGTGGGCGGGTGCAATAGCCAGCCTGTTATTGCAATTTAAAATAACCAATAGCAAGCTGGCTGTTGCTCAAAGCCACTGGGGGCACCCAAGACGCAGCGGGGGGAACGGGAACATCGGAAGCACAGCAGGGGGAGCGGAGAGCATTGAAGGTACAGCGGGGGAAACAGGAGCATCGGAGGCGCAGAGGGATGAGCATCAGAGGCGCAGAGGGGGGAACGGGTTGAAACAAAGGTGCTACGGGGGCACAAGCAACTAATCGCAGAATCAACTAATCATTGAAAACGATTCTCATTATTGATTACCATTGATTTTATTGATTAGTTGTCGCAGCCCTGATTGTGTCTATGGAGGAAGCCATGGTTGTCGCACAGGCCGGACTTCAAGCCCATCTGGCTGTGTTCATCTACGTTACATGTCTGTGCTTTCTGTTCAGCTCGCAGGAAGTGACAAGGACACGGCAATTCTGGCAGGATCTTGCACTTGCTGAAAATGTTCTTAGCCGGAAAACAGGATGAATGCAGCCATCACAGTTAAGGACTGGAAAGCTGCCATTTATGACATTTTTTTTTTTTAGGTTTAGTTGCACTTGATGGACACGCAGTTGTAACCTTACTTCTTTTTTTTTTCCAGGTACGCAGTAGGAATCGCTTACAAGTCCGCACCAAAGAATGAATGGATTGGGAAGAACACCTCATCCTGGGTATTCACCCGATGTAATAACAATTTCCTCGTCAGACACAACAACAAGGAACTTCTACAAGATGTCCACCCCCAGCTGAAACGGTTGGGTGTCCTTCTAGACTATGACAATAACACCTTATCCTTCTACGATCCTGCTAACTCCCAGCACCTGCACACCTATGAAATCCCATTCATACTGCCCGTATGTCCTACCTTTACCATATGGAGCAAGTCTTTATTGCTCCTCTCAGGGCTCCCCGCTCCGGATTTCATGGACACGTTTCTTCCTCATCAACTACAAGAGTGTATCTGCAGACCTCAAGAATCGCCGTACGTATCTGGGCTCAAAGCGTGCCAGTGAACACTACTGCTGTCTTGTGTTATATACTTTTAATAGGGAATAGGACATATTATTGCCTGCTTTGAAAGGTCCGTCATTGGGGGGAAAAAAAACATGAAGAACCTTCCCAGTTCCCGAGCTGGTTCCTGTGCTTGATCTAGCATTTGAGGTTTGGGAAGGTAAATAGCTTAGCTAGCTTTATTCAATTAATACCTTTTTAAAATGTATTTTTTCTTCAAATTCTGTTCTACTGTTGTAAAAGGCATTTTTTCATTTGTTTGAAAGACTATGTAAGCATCTTCCTATATCTAGAAGGCGTATTGTACAGTTGGACATTATATTGGAAGGAAGACGTAAGTTAAATGTGCACCATATGGCCAGACATTTGTGGACACCTAACCATCACACCTATATGAGCTAGTCAGACGTCGAACTCCAAAACCATGGGCAATAATGTGGAGTTGCCCTTCTGTGTGGCTTTAACAGCCCCCCACCCATCTAGGAAGGCTTTCCACAAGATTTTGGAGGGTGTCTGTGGGAATTTGTGCCCTTCTGTGAGGTCAGGTACTGATGTTGAAAGAGAAGACCTGGCCCAGGACGGGTGTTTCAAATCATTCCAAAGGTGTTCAGTAGGGTTGAGGTCAGGGCTTTGTGTAGATCACTCTAGTTCCTCCTCATCAAACTCTTCAAACCATGTCCTTATGCAGCCAGCTTTGTACATAGGGGCACAGTTTGTGGCTATAACCGCCTCCACTCTTCAGGGAACACTTTCCAAAATATTTTGGAAGGTGTCTGTGGGAATGTGATGCCGTTTGTGAGGTCAGGTACTGATGTTGGATGAAAAGACCTGGCTCACAATAGTCCTGCCAATTCATCCCAAAGATGTTCAGTAGGATTTGGGTCGGGGCTCTGCAAAGGCCACTCCAGTTCCCCCACACCAAACTCAGCAAACCAGGACTTTATGGAGCAGGCTTTCTACATAGGGGACAGTCATGGTGGAACAGAAAAGGGTCTTCAACACTGTTACCACAAGGCTGTTAGAGCAAAATTGTCTAAAATGTCTTTGTATGATGTAGTATTAACAGAACCTTCACCGGAGCAACCTGAACTCAATCATTTGTAGGGGTTCCAGTTCACTCTAAAGTTGTTCAGTAGGGTTGAGGTCAGGGTTCTGAGCAGGACACTTGAGTTCCTTTGTACCAAACTAGGCAAACTATGTCTTTATGGAGCTGGCTTTGTACACGGGGGCAGTCATAGTGGAATAGAAAAGGGTCTTCACCAAACTGTCACCAAAGGTTGGAAGAGCACAATTGTCTACAGTGTCTTTGTATGTTGTAGCAACAATAGTACCCTTCATTGGAAATACCTGGATTTGGAGGGGGTTCAAATACTTTTGGCTATAAAGTAGGTTTGATGGTCGGAAGTTCACAAAGACTTGGTGATATAGTGTTTCTTTTCTTCAGAGGTCAGAACGTGGTAAGTAGGTTTTTGTTTTAGCACAACATATCATATCAGAGCTCCTTGATTCTTCTGTTATAGTTGTATTGGGAGAAGGACTTGGTTAAATATGTGCAGATGTAGGGAGGAGATCAGAAAGAGCTGGAATTACTCAACCCAAAATGACCAATGTGCCCAAGGCACACCATTGGAGGACTTGCCGCTAGGTTTTTCCTTATTCCATCTCCATGCAACGCCTTGCACACAAAAGCTGCTAACAAGCTAAACGTCACAAAATTAGAGTAAGGAAGTGCTGCATTCCTTATTCATCATGACATAATGCATTATGAAGAACCTCGGCCGCTGCAGAACACTCGAGTATTGAGCTATTTGGCTTGACAAACTACTGCTAACCGCTGCGCCGCGCTGTGCTCACTTTTTACATTTGTTTGCAAGCCGTTAGCTCTGTAGTTGCCACATATCCAGGAAAAATGATGTCCAGTATGGAAGGAACCCTTTCTGATACTCCGGGCTGTGCAGTCTCAGCCACAATTCTTCAAAGTTGATGTTCAGGGCTGCGTAATTGTCCAATGTGCCGATCCTTTATCTGTAGTAATGTCCTATTAGTGCCCATGGCCACTTTCCAAACATCAAAGCAGGAACAGGGTAAAAAAATGTAACATTCCCCATCCATGCCTGAATCCAAGCGACTGCAGAGCGATGGTACTTCATTCCAGAAAGATATGTGTTGTCTGTGGGGTATCAGTTTTGCCCTAAAGCTGAACCCCGGACTTTTCATCAGCCTTGTACCGGCTCCTCTTCAGGATCTGCCTGCATTGCATAGAAAAGCAGAGGCATCCAGTGATGACAGCATTGGGTCTACAATAAGGAATATAACGAAAACTTAAAATTAATTGGCTTGCTAATGGGAGGCAGAACCAGGGAAGGCCAAACGTAACAAGATAAATCTTTAGCTTTAAAGGGTATCTAAAGCTCATTTTTTTTGTTTACTTTTGGATGGAATAATAAAGAGTTAGAACCCCCGTCAGGATATTTCTGCTTTCTGTATCCCCATTTGGTAGATTCGACCTAATCATTTGTCCTGGCGATCGTTTCAATGGGAATGAAAGTGATGGGAAATCCAAAAATGTATGTTGTCAATAAAGAAGGAATAGAAGGGAAATCTTCCAATGGAGACAACTGTCTAGAAGGAATTCATTCTCTCCTTCCCTCTTTCTCTCTCCCTCCCTCACTCTCTCCCTCACTCCCCCTCCCTCACTCTCTCCCTCCCTCACTCCCCCTCCCTCACTCTCTC